GCGGGGGCCGCCGGGAGCCGCCGTCTCCATGGAAACCGCCAATCGCAACGCGAGGAGGCGAAACGTCATCAGAGCGACGCGCTGTGGGCGGGGTTAGGGCGGGGCGGCCAATGAGCGGGCGGCGCGGCCGTGACGCCATCGCGGCGCGCGGGCGGGGCGGCATGGCGGCGTTCCGGGCGCTCGGGCTGGCGCCGTGGCTGGCGGAGCAGGCGCGGCAGCTGGGGCTGCTCCGGCCCACGCCCGTGCAGGCCGCCTGCATCCCGGCCGTGCTGCAGGGTGAGCGCCGCGGGGCGCCCCGCAACCGGGAACGGCCGGGGGCGGGCCCCGGTCCTTCCCCGGGAAGGGTCCCGAGCTAGCCCCGGTTCCCGTTCCCGGTTCCCGTTCCCCATTCCCGGTTCCTTTCCTATCCCCATATCCATCCCTGGTTCCCGTTCCCATTCCCCATTTCCCGTTCCCATCCCCATTCCCATTTCCCGTTCCCGGTTCCCATCCCCGTTCCCGGTTCCCGTTCCTATCCCCGTTCCCATCCCCGTTCCCGGTTCCCGTTCCTATCCCCGTTCCCATTCCCGGTTCCCGTTCCCATCCCAGTTCCTGTTCCCGCAGGCCGGGACTGCCTGGGCTGCGCGCAGACCGGCAGCGGGAAGACGGCGGCGTTCGTGCTGCCGGTGCTGCAGCTCCTCTCCGAGGATCCCTACGGCATCTTCTGCCTCGTGCTCACCCCCACCCGGTACCGGGCACCGGGGAGACCCGGGGAGCCAGGGGGGAGAACCGAGGGAGCTCAGGGAGAACCGGGGAACTGGGGGGAGCTCTGGGAGAGCCCCGGGGGAACCGGGGGGGAATTGGGGGGAGCTCCGGGGAACCGGGGGGAGCTCCAGAGGAGCCCCAGGGGAACCAAGGTGAGCTCTGGGGGAACCGGGGGATTCCCGGGGAGCTCCGGGGGAACTGGGAGGAACCGGGGGGGAACCCAGGGGAGCCCTAGGGGAACCGGGGGGCAGCCCCGGGGGAACTGGGAGGAGCTCTGAGGAACCGGGGGATTCCCGGAGAGCTCTGGGGGAGCCCCGGGGGAACCGGGGGAGCCCCGGGTGGGCTGAGCCTCGCCGCCCCGCAGGGAGCTGGCCTACCAGATCGCCGAGCAGTTCCGGGTGCTGGGCAAACCCCTGGGCCTCAAGGACTGCGTGGTGGTGGGCGGCCTCGGTGAGTGACCGCGGGGCCTGGCCGGGCACCTTCCCGGTGCCCCCGGTGCTCCCGGCCCTGTTCCCGGTGCCCCCGGCCCTGTTCCCGGTGCTCCTGGTGCTCCCAGTGCCCCCAGCCCCATTCCCGGTGCTCCCAGCCCCGTTCCCAGTGATCCTGGTGCTCCCAGTGCCATTCCTAATGCTCCCAGTGTTCCCAGTGTCCCCATTCTCAGGTTTCCTGGTCCCATTCCCCATATACCCAGCCTTATTCCCGGTATTCCCAGTCCCATTCCCAGCCCTGCTGTGTTCCCAGCCCCGTTCCCAGCGTTCCCAGTCCCATTCCCGGCCCCGTTCCCAGTGTTCCCGGCCCCGTTCCCAGTGTTCCCAGCCCCGCTCCCAGTGTTCCCAGCCCCGCTCCCAGTGTTCCCAGCACCGTTCCCAGTGTTTCCAGTCCCGTTCCCAGTTCTCCCAGCCCCGTTCCCAGCCCCGTTCCCAGCCCCGTTCCCAGCCCTATTCCAATGTTCCCAGTGTTCTAGTCCCGTTCCCAGCCCCGTTCCCAGTTCTCCCAGCCCCATTCCCAGCCCCACTCCCAGTTCTCCCAGCCCCGTTCCCAGCCCCGCTCCCAGTCTTCCCAGTTCTCCCAGCCCCATTCCAGTGTTCCCAGTGTTCCCAGTGTTCCAGCCCCATTCCCAGCCCCGTTCCCAGTGTTCC